AGGCCTTTTTTTGATAGCATCCGAGGCTGTTTTGGGCTTCGACCTAAGTCTCTGTCGGGCCTCTGTCTACCGGGCAAACCCTCTCCTCCCCTCCCGTTTGGGCCAGGGGAGGTTTGGCCACAAGCTCCTGGCCCCAAAACACTTTTTCTGCTTTTCTTAATCATTTTCAAACACTCCTCTTTTTTATAGACGTTACCAGTTGGTATTTCTGTTTCAGTATAACGCGGCCCACTTCACGGTAGCTCAAGCTGCAGTCAGCGCACGGAATGTTGGTAACACGCCGGGGCAGGGGGGCAGCGGGAAGTCAGCAGCCGGCGTGTCGGGGCGCATGGGCGCCTGTGCCTCGGGGGGACGGTGAGACTTGGGGCCAGGCGGGCGGTCCCTCCCTCACCCGCACGGCGGTCCCCTCAGAAGCTGCTGCTTCCTCTCCGCTCCGGTTTCCATGGCGATCAGGGTGAGGCAGCCCCGAGTGGGCTGACCTTCCTTCCGTGAGGAGCGGCGAGCGCAGCTGTAGCTTGTGGAAGGACGGGGCGTGCGGCGCGGCGTGTGGGCGCCACGAGGATGTCTGGCGGCCAGACGGCTCCTGCAGCACCCGCTGCCTCTGGCCAGGGCACGTCTCCCTGGGAGCGAGCGCCTGGATCCCCTCTTAGAGAGGACGGGGGCGTCAGGCACTGGGGTCGGGGCGTGTTGGCGTGACCTTTGGCTTCATGCCATCACCTTTTTCCTCGTTTTTTATGGCATAATTAGAAACCATCCCTAAAGCACAATAGTAACCGTAGACTTTAGTTTGTTGCCTAAAGCAAAGCCTCTGGGTTTATTTGGAAAAACATTTTTTTATTTCTGAGATGAATCGGCTTTTCTGTTTGGGGCATCTCTGTGGAAAGTGACCACCAGGCCAGTAAGTGCAGGAGAAGAAGTTTACTAACCGCGGAGAGATCCGCGTCGGCACAGCACGAGCTCCGCCCGCCAGGACCGCCGGGCGGGGAGCAGAGCCGGTGTCTGGGCCCGCGGGACACAGAAGACGCCCTACCGCAGCCGTGGTAGCGACCAGCAGTTATTTTATAGCTGTAGAATGTGCATAAAGGTTCGTTTCTGAAAGAGAAAAGCCCAAAAACGGCCAATGAAGGGGTCAACAAACTAAGATACTCTGGGGGGGGCCGGGCGGCTTCCTTCCCCGAAGGTCTGCACATGACGGGCTTTGAATGAAATGCCACCGTGCATTTTCAGGACAAAAACCCTGATAAACAGGCTTGAGTGGATGTTTGTTCCTCTGATTCTCTTTTCTCTTGCGCGGTGGCGCGGAGCCCGCGGGCGTTCAGAGCTGTGAATGTACATAGTGCGGGTCCGCCCCTCCGCGCGGCGCGGCCTGGCTGCAGGGCCCTGCAGGGACCTGAGGTCATGGCCGGTCGCCTCGCAAAGAACTTTGGATTTTCAGTGGAATGAATAAAACCTGCGGTCTTGTGTACTCGAGGGTGTGTTGTGTTGCGTGGGGTTGATTGAAAGCAGCAGCCGTTTCTTACACTGTGACCGCAGAACCAGCTGGGCACTTCTTTCTGTGGCTCTAGCACGTTGGGAAGACAGAGCAATTGAAATTCTACAGAATGAGCTCTGCTGGTGGCAAAGGGTTGCTCTGGAGCGTCTGAGATCACGTGGACGGCAGCAAACGCTTTACAGGATTCAGACACGGGTGGCCCTTGGCTACCGGTGAGTCAATTCCTGCAATTTCTCCAGACGACACGCATGCACTGTAAGCGTGTTTGTCAGGCAGAAAGAAAAAGGGATCTTGTGTTCAGTCCTGTTAAATCAGCAAAAGATTTAGAAAGAGAAGTGAAAGAACTAGAGCTCATGTGTTACGCTCCCAAAAACTTAATATGAAAAATCAAGTTTGTGTAGCCACCAGCTTTAAGGATCGAGTAACAATTATATTGTTCAGGAAAGCAGGTCAGAGGCAGGCGGCCTGGGTGTGTGTGGCCTGAGCCCTCGGGTAGGAGGGGAAATATATGCACCACAATGACATTTCAAGTTTCATTCACGTCTTTGTGCTTTTATGCATTTGCCATCTTTAGTATAATAAAATGCACATTTCCTTTTAAAGTGATTAAATATGTTTAAGTTTCTAAAGTAAAGAACAGGTAAAACAGACACACTCCGCACATTTCACATTAAAAGCTGGGCTGGAAGCTCTCGCGGAACATCGGCTGGGAAAGGCCAGAAGAGACGGGACGGCCGGGCCGTGCGTGCACACGCCAGGCTCTGCGCAACGGGTGGTTGTCGCCGGACGTGCCTCAGCTTCTCCGGGCTTTCCGCTCCGCCACTCAGCGCTGGAACCAGGCCGGGAAGGAGGAGTGAGGGTGCAGCGAGCCCGCTCGCGGCTCTCACACGGGAGTTAGCGCGGCTTCTGCTTTAGCTCTGGAAACCCCGTCAGAACCCAGAGGTGGGGAGAGTCGGCCCTGTCCCCTCCCTGCCTGTCCCCCTTGCCACCTGCCCCGCCCGCTCACTGGCCCCCCCGGAAAGCAGCCGGGGGAGGGTTCCCTCATCACAGCAGAGCGCAGAGCGTGCAGCCAGGCGGGGCCAGACGGCCACGGAGCGTCCACGCCAGGTACGCACCTTGCGCGTCGCCTGACGCACTGCTGGGACCGCTCCTGACACAGACACCCTTACCTTCGCCAGAAAAGTCAAGTCCTGTGAGTCTTGCTGTCCCCTCTGGGGGACGTTCATGCTGGAACAGTCACAAACCCTCCTGGGAGTTCCCAACACAGAAACCACGTCCCAGAGCTCACCACCACCATCGCCTGTATAGAGCAATAGGGTGCTGGAGGCAGGAAAGCGCGTGGCTGGCAAGCTGGCCGCTGCTCGCACGAATACGCATACACACACGCACGCTCACCCCCAGCAAGATGGCACGCGTGCTCACACATATATGCACACACGCACTCGCACACGCGAACTCACCCCCAGCAAGATGGCACACGTGCTCACACATACATGCACGCACACGCACTCGCACACACGCGCACTCACCCCCAGCAAGACAGCACGTGTGCTCACTCATGCACACGACACTCACCCCCAAACCAAGCTGGCAGCGCTGTCTGCACGCACCGCCACCGCCTCGTGTGCGTAGCTGGTTATATCGCGGTTGGTGGCGACAACCCCCCTCCCACCACCGGCCTCCGTCTCCTTGGCCCCGACCAGGGTTTGGGGGGTCGGGGTTCTGAACCTCCTGGGAGGATTCAGCTTTCACTCCGAGTGTGTGAAGCCTTAGTCATCTGCCTTCGGAGTCACAATATTCATCATCAAAGTTCCCAGAAGTACCCAGCGAGCGTCCTGGGTTCCAAAGACGGTGACAGCAGCCCCGTCATTGGCGCGAGTCGTCCCGTCCGAGACAGGACACTCCTCCCTGTGACGTCAGCCACGTGAGCCGCCCCGTAGCTGGTGGCGGCCTGAGGTCGCGGTGCAGTGGACGGCCGCGTGGTCCCGGGAGGACTGTCCCCACTTGGGAACTAAGACCTTCGGAGCGGAAGAGCCGAGTGCGCGGAGAACAGGGAAAACACGGGCGGGAGCGACAGTCCGCGTGGGCCGGCTGCGCTGCAGCGACGACGTCCCCCCCGCACCGGGGGCCGGCCAAAGAGAGCGGCTCTGACTGGTTTCCAGGGGGTCAGCTCCGTGTCAGCGTCGCTGTTCCCCCGCCCGGCAGAGAGCCCCCCGACTCCACCAGTCACATGGCACAGGGACAAGAGAGGTGACAAACCGCGCACTGGATGCAGAAGTGAAACACGTCAGTCCCACCCACGTCACTGGCAGAGCGAGCCGCTCAGCCACGCTGAATGCGGAGGGCAGGGACACGCACCCCGCAGGGACGGCCGCCCCGAGGAGGGGCCAAAACCACCTTGCGGTGACTGCTGGCTGTGAGGGTGACAAGAGCCGTTCCTGGTCCCACCCTGGCGTCACACGTTGTTCGGCTGTGAGATGGCACCGTGTGCCGGTCCACGCGCTGTCACACCCGTGAGGCCGTCTCCCCGCTGGCGGCAGGCCGGAAGTTTCAAGAAGTCGTCCCTCCGTGCCAACAGAACAGCCGCCTCTGGGCGACGGGACCTTGGCGGAAGGGACTCCAGTGTGTGCCGGTGCCACGCGGCCTTTGCTGCGAAACAAAGTCCTTGGCACCATGGTGGGAGGTGGCAGCAGTGAGTGAGCCAGGCCGGCCCACAGGTGGCACTGTGGGCAGAGGAGACCCATCGTCCCTGGAACAGTGTGTGAAACGAGGAGACGGTGCCCTCAGCGGCGGCCGGGTCCAGCGTAACCAGCCTGCCTCGGGGGCTGGTCCCCGCCAGGAGTGGAGCCACACGGGGGCTAAGGCTGCACCCTGCTTCCGACAAGTCGGGAATTCGGCGATGACCACGTGAAAAACCCACGGCCGTCGGCTTGTCAGCCTGCGCTGTGGGTCCATACCCCTCTCCCCGCACTGCGAGAGGCCCCGTGTGCAAGACTCTGCCGAGGACACGGGTGGGCTGGGAAGAGGCGGCCGACGTCACCACGCTGCCGTCCCCGGACGGGACGCTGCGAGAGAAAACACCAGCGAGCCTGGAGAGGTGGCCGCTGTGACCCCGGCAGGGCTCAGGGAGAGGGCGGACGGAAGGGACGAAGCGTGAGCACCCCGGGGGGCAAGGCTGAGGGGTCCTCCACCTGCAGTCGGAGCCCCGGGGGAAGAGGGCAGACAGGAAACTTATTCGACAAAGTAATGGCCAGAATTTTCCCAGTCTATAAATGGGGACCTCCAGAAGCTCGGTAAGCACCAGGCAGAATAAAAGTGTGTAAGTACAGCGTGGCAGAGCAGAGCACAGCGCGGGAGCCACCGGTAACGGGGACACGCGAAAGCCACCGGAGAGAAAGCGCATTCGCCAAGGAGCAGGGCGAGGACGATGCAGCCCGACGGCGGGGGGCTCCCCCAAGAGCGAACACTAATGCTGTCGACCGAGAATTCTGTGCCCAAAGACTGTCTTTCCAGACTCGAGGCAAGACGTTTCTAAATAAGCACAAATGCAGATGATTCGCTGCCAACCACGCTAAAGTTCCGCAGGCAGAGCTGGGAGAACATGGCGCAGAGCTGCACGCGGGAGACTGTGACGGTGACACTGTGTCCTGTCCGCAGCCCAGAGGAAACAAAACCAGAGGTCTGGGGGTCGACTGAAATACTAACTTAACCGAACTAAGCAGGCAAGAACGAAGAAAAGATCCAAGGGCAGAAACATAAATTTGAAACAAACAGCAAAGCGGGAAACTTAATGCAATCATGTTAGCACATAAAATACAGACTGAAAACTCCGGAACGACAGTTGTTAGGCTGAATAAAAAGTAAAATACCTGACTATAGGCTGTTTAGACACATATTGAAAAGAACAGGGCGGAAAACGTATTTATAACCTGCAAATGTGGCGGTAAGAAGGGGGTTTGGCGAGATGGGGGTCACACTAAGCACGTCCAGACTTGGACAAAGTCCAGAGTGAAGTACAGACACTTCTTGATAAAAGGTTCGATTCCACTCGAAGTCACAATAATCTTAAAGGTATATGTATATGGCTTAAAACATTTTAAGCAAAAATGACAGGATCAGAAGGAGAAATAAATCAGCTTCGGTGGAGATTCTAACACGATTTCCTCAGTAATAATAGAGCCACGGGGGGATGTAAGGACGTAGAAGATTTGGACGACTCTGTTCCCCAAACTGGCTGACTCGCCGTTTCAAGCGCACACAAAGCAGTTGACAAAACACACCCTGTGCTTGGCTACAGATAAATTGGAAGATACTAAATCGTACAGAGTGGGCCCCCTCGTCTAAAGGCAGGACCGAGCCGCGCACGCCACGTAACTAACCGCGCGGCAGGCGAGGCAGCGTCAGCGCTGGTGGGCAGAGCTGGTCTCCGTCCTGGCCCGTTGTCAGAGCTGCGCGGTGCTGATTAACTCTCCCGAACTCGGCAACAGCAAATGAATCCAGCTTTTGCTTCCAGTCAAGACAGAGGCATAGAGACTAGATTTGTGCCCCCCGCCCGAAATGCAGGTCGTTGTCGGGTGGAAAACTCAGATGGGTTTTGCCCCAACGATGAAAAAACGTTAACCCTATAAAATGCTGCTCCAGCCCAGCTGAACAAAGCTTAAAGGCAAAACCTGACCACAATGGCCAAAGTATTTATAAGTAACTTACCCACAGCCAAAAACAAAGCTCCAGAAGTTCCGGACGGTTCCCAGGGACACAATATTATCCACCACCCAACAGGGTAAAATTTACTAATCTGGCATCCAGTCGGAAATTAACACGACGCAAAAATGCTGGGAAACGTGATCGATAGAAACAGACCCAGGAGTGGCTCAGTGGTGGCGTTGGCAGAGGCCTTGGCAGCCACCGTAACCATCACGCTGCTCAGAGAGCTCGCCAGGGGCAAGATCGAGCACGTGTGACAGAGACATGAAAGGTGTTTTTTAAAAGACACAAATCTAAAATCTAGAGATGAAACTACAATGTCTGAGATGCAAAACACACCGGTTGGGATTAGGGTGGATTTAACGTCTCAGAAGAAAAGGTAAATGAACGTGAGGACAGAGCAGTGCAAACTGTCAGAATAAAACAGGGAAGAAAGACAAGAAATTGAACTGAGCCTCAGCACAGGTGTGTACCCAGTAACTCAGCTCAAAATAGATTAAGCAGCAAGAGCTTAACTTCAAGCTGGAGACTTCAGGCCCCCTAAAATATGTGCTACTGGAGTCCCCCAAAGAAGAAGGGGAAACAAAAAATTATTTGAAGACATGAATTTGGTGTAAATTATACAGTCCAAATGTTTATGTGCGTAGTAACAGAGCGTCAAAATAAATTCAGCAAAAACCGATAGCACTGTGAGGAGAAGCAGAGCAGTCTACACAGTTACGCTGGGAGCTTCAGCACCTCTCGCCCAGGATTGTTGGAACAAATACACAGAAACTTTTGAGGGTGTAGACGCCTTGAGAAACAGTACGAAGCAGCGTCACCTGTTTTATGTTCACACTGTGCATTTGACGTTTATGTTACAGTTCACCCAGTGACAGCAGAGCGCACATTCTTTTCAAGTACGTGTGAAGAACCTAGCAAGATACACCACGGTCTGGACGTAAAATGAACCTCAATGAATTAAAGGGATTCAAGTGAAAAAAGTGTGTTCTTAACAAAAAGGGCAAATAGTTTTGATATCAACATAACGAATATATCTGGAAAAAATCAAAGAAGTATATCCAAAAAATCCTCACATATTTAGAAGCTGATCACATATCTAAATAACAGTGTGTCGAAGAAGAAATCAAAAGAGAAATTAGAAACTATTTTGAACCGAATGAAAACAAACCGCGACATATCAGATGTTACGGAATTCAGCTCGAGTAGAACTCAGAGGGAATCTAAGCCCTGACGGCCTCCCCAGAAGCAAACACAGGCCACAAGGCAGTGGCAGCCTCCACCTGGACAATCCCAGGAGGCGTCTTTATAGAAATTGAAAAATCGATTCTAAAATTTGTATGAAAAAGCGAAGGACCTAGAATAACCAGAACAGCAAAGTGGTACGACCTACGCTACGGGACCTGGCAGCGCGTTACAAAGCCACCGCAATCAGGGTGATGACATGGCGGGCACACTGGCCCGCGCCTGTCGTCCCAGCTACGGGGAGGCTGGGGCAGGAGGGTCGCTCGAGCCCAGGAGTTCAGGCCCAGCTGGGCAACCTGGCCAGGCCCTTGTCTCTGGGAAAAGGAAGGGAGTGGGCGAGAGAGCGTTACCCTGGCCCACCTGGGCTGCCAGACAGAATACCCGGGATCGGGGCGGGGAGGGTGGGGAGAGGACACAGCTCAATCCATAGCGAGCGTGGTTTTGGCATCAAATTCGGTGGCCACATCAATAAAACAGAGTCCAGAAACAAACCCTCCGTACAGGTTCAACTGATGTTTTCCACGAAGGGGCAAAAGCAACTCAGTGCAGAGAGCCTTGTCCCGTCCCCTCCAGCCTTGTCCCAGTGGTGCTGACCAGTGGATATTCGGGTGTAAAGTAATGTATATCTTTGCCCTATTAATTCAAAATGGATCATATACATAAATGTACAATCTATAATTTTAAAAACTGTAGAGGAAAACTTAAGATCTGTGTGATCTTGGCTCGGGTAAAAGTTTCTTAAATACAACACTAAAAGTAGGATTCACAAAAGAAAAAATTGATAAATTGGACTGTATCAAAATTAATAACTTCTCTTTGAAAGACTCTATTAAGACAATGAAAAGATAATCCAAGATTGGGACCAACATTTGTAAAGTGCCTATCTGATAAAAGACTGGTATCCATAATATGTAAAGAACTCTCAGAACTCAATAATAATAAAACAACCCAAATGTGCAAAAGATTGAACAGATACTTGACAAGAAATTATACTGATGGCAACCAAACACATAAAAAGTGGTTCGGTCATTAGAGAAATGCAAATTTACACCCTAATATTGAGATATTACTATAAACATATCAGAACATCTAAAATTAAAGAGACTGACCATACTCGGAGGCTGTGGCGTGACTGAAATTCTCATATACTGTTCGTGGAAATAAAAATTATGTAACTACTTCACAAAACAATGTAACAGCAC